GCATCAGCATCAGCATCAGCATCATCATCATCCTCGACATCGTCGACTTCATCAACATCATCATCATCATCATCAGCAGCATCATCATCAGCAGCATGATCAGCATCATCATCATCAGCAGCATCAGCATCATCACCATCGTCATCCTCAGCGTCATCATCATCAGCAGCTGCGTCATCAGCACCATCATCACCCTCATCATCACCATCGTCATCATCATAATCGTCATATGCATCATCAGCATCATCAGCAGCAGCAGCAGTATCAGCATCAGCATCATCACCATCGTCATCAGAATCATCATCATCACCATCAGCAGGAGCAGCATCGTCATCATCCTCATCGTCAGCATCATCATCATCAACATTAGCATTAGCATCAGCATCAGCATCAGCATCATCACCATCACCTATCTGCATCAGCATCCTAATCCCCAGCATCATCGGCATTATCAGTATCGTCATCGCCATCATCATCAGCATCAACATTAGCATCAGCATCAGCATCATCATCATCGTCGACATCATAAACAGCATCATCATCAGCAGCAGCATCATAACGTGCATCATCATCATCACCACCACCACCACCATCATCATCATCATCATCAGCATCATCATCATCATCGTCGTCATCAGCATCAGCATCAGCATCATCATCATCGTCAGCATCATCGTCATCGTCGACATCAGCAACATCAGCATCAGCAGCATTATCATCATCAGCAGCAGCATGATCAGCATCATCAGCATCATCAGCATCAGCATCAGCATCAGCATCATCATCATCATCGTCATCCTCCTTATCATCATCAGCAGCAGCAACATCATCAGCATCATCACCCTCATCATCGCCACCATCATCATAATAATTGTCATCAGCATCATCAGCAGCATCACCATCATGATAGTCATCATCACCATCATCAGCATCATCATCGTCATCATCGAAATAGTCAGCATCATCAGCAGCATCGTCAGCCTCATCCTCATCACCCTCACCCTCGTCAGCATAGCCATCATCGTCAGCAGCAGCACCTGCATCATCATCACACTGTTATCATCGTCATAATGAGCATCATCAGCATCGTCATCATCATCATCATCATCATCATCATCATCATCCTCATCATCAGCATCACCGTAGTCATCATCATCATCATCATCATCATAATCATCATCACCATCATCATAATCAAAATCATCACCATCATCATCACCATGATCACGATCGTCAGTACCATAAGCATCATGTATACAATCAGCATGATCATCGTCCTTGTCATCATCATCATCATAATCATCATCATCATCATCATCATCAGCTTCATCATCACCCACCTCACCCTCATCATGTTCCTCCCTGTTGATCCTCCTCCTCGTCATCATCCTTCTCCTCTTCCACACTCCTCCTCCTCCTTATCCTCTTCTTCATGTTCCTCCTCCTCCTCCTCTTCCTCTTCCTCCTCCTGCTCCTCCTCCTCCTTCACACTCCTGCTCCTACTCCTGCACCCAGGTGGGCCTGCCCCCCCCGTGCGGGGGTTCGGCCGGCTGGCCTTGTAGATCTCCAGGGTCATGGACACGATGCGGTCTGCGATGAAGTGCAGCCTGTGCAAGAAGATGAGGAGGAGGGAAGGAGTGAGGGAGGCAGGAAGGGAAGGAGGGCGGGAGGGAGGAGAGGGAGGAGGAGGAGGAGGAGGAGGAGGAGGAGGAGGAGGAGGGACGAGGAGGAGGAGGAAGGGGAGGAGGAAGGAGTGAGGGGGGGGGAGGGAGGAGAGGGAGGGAGAGGGAAGAGGGACAAGGAGGAGGAGGAGGAGGAGGACCAGTGCAAAACCGAGAGCCATCAACGATGTTGGAATACACCCTCCCCCCAAGCTCCCTCTTCATAGGCACCTACAACGGTTCATTTCCATTGAAAAATCTACCTCGTTAGAAAACAACCGTTTGAAGACCCGGAAACAAGCCAAAACATTGTTCTCGGGATTCCAACGTCACGGATCAACCTGACTGTTGCGTCTTGACGATCCTGGGTCGCGCCAGAAGGCCATTCTTGGGATTTCAACACCGCGAATCAACGTAACTGCCGCACTTGCAAAATTCTGAATCCTTACAAAATACCATGTATGGTACGTTGATCGCGGGAACCCGTGAAACTTTTGCAATTTTGTTAAACGAACGTGAGCAACGCTGGGGCGAAAACCACATTTTGAAAAGTAAGCGCCCTCAATGCGTGAAGCTTTTGCCATTGTTTAAAACAAAAAAGCAAAGAAGAAGGGAGGAGAAACAAACAAAAAAAAAAAAAAAAAACGTGCGCGGCGCTGAAGCGAAAGCCACATTTTGAAAACAGAGTTTCCTCAACTCGTGAAACTCTTGCAATGTGTATAAAACGAATGCGCGCGGCGCTAAGGCGAGAGCCACATGTTGAAAACCACCCGCCTTCCATCTGTAAAACTGCTGCCAATTTTAAGCTTCAGAATCATAAATGGCAAAGAAATCTCAGGCGAAACGCCCGGCCCGCCCTAAAAACCGGCCTCGGGGGGGCGACAGGGAGAAGTTATAAGGAAGAGAAGGGGAAGAGGAGCGCGACCCTCCGATGAAAGGGACGAAACGAGGGCAGGCGGGCAAGAAAGGGACGAAACAAGGGCAAGAGCCTGCATTGGGTCAGGCTTCCGTCAGGCATCTCGCGGGCAGCACACGCACTCTGCAGCTGCGCCTCGCGAGAACACGAGCACTGCGGTCAGGAGACCCAGGGTCCCCGCGGGCCCAAAACTCCCTCCAGCACGCAGCGAGTTAAAGGCCGTATATATACCATGAGTTACCTCCGCCGAGAGCACAGCACCTGAATATACAAATAACGCTACCCTAACGGAACCAGCGCGACGTCGGCCAATCAATACAAACGGAACGCAGATAGGCACCGAAAAACTAAGATAATCCCTCACTGAAGCTGCGAGGTCGGCTTTGGACCCGAGAGTTTCCTGTAATATGATTACCTTATACTGTGCACAGAGACGAGCAAGCCACGTATGCTTCTTACACTGACGGGCATGTCTACCACACAGACCTCCACAGAGAGCAACAGAACATTTACCCGAGATGCGCCAGGGCTTATGCAAGACGGGGCGAGCGGGCAGAGCAGCAAGGAAAGGAAAAGTGGAGGAACTGTACTTCCTCACGCCATACGGAATGCGAGGCGCAGGCCCACTAGCCTCAGTACTCTCAGACGACCCAGAAGTAGGGCAGGAATTGGCCGATGAGGAACTCGAACCACTGGCAGGGGAGGAGTCGCCACTCTTCCTTTTGGCGGCAGCGACGCAGCCCAGGATAAGAGGAGGACCACCATGCAGGAGTTGCCCATGCCCTTCAGGAACACTCAGCTCCAATGATCGGGACCGTCAGGCGGGTGTCTTGCCGAGCTTGCTCAAGACAAACTCAGGGAACGCGTTCAGCAGTTCAGCACGGCCTCGGGGATTTCAAACATCTTCGCGTCTGGCATCACCATAAACGTGAAGGCGTCCTTGCCACCTCCTGCGTCTGCCCCAGGGGGCAGCTCGACCAAATCGAAGATCTCCTCATCATCGGCGCAGGCCAAGTGGAGCGTGCCAGCGCGCGGGTTGGAGCCAAGACGAAAGGACCCCTTCCACTTGCCATGCTCTTCAAAGATGGCACGCGTCATCCCGCAGCACTTGCCAAGCGCAAAAGTTTTGTGCCGAACATGGAGAGGCCGATCATATCCAACTCGAGGTGGCATGCCTTGACCATTCTTTTGGGGTCCTTCCAGAGGAGGTGGACAGCCGATCCTGCATCCTTGCCCCAGCTGAAGAAAGCCTTGGCCGTCTCCACGGACTGGAAGCGGACTGGTTGCAGCAGCACTTGCAACTTTGGCGCTGGGGGGCTGCACCTTTCGAGCAACGAACCTACCGCCGCCTTGAGCAGCTCACAGTGGCTCACGAAAACACGGCTCGGCAGCTCCCTGGCGAAACCCCGAACCCAGGTCTCGCAGCGGTGACCAACTCCACCACCGTCCCGAAGAGGAGAGCGTGACTACGAGGCCCGGGTCCAGCACGTGCAGGTGGCACGGGATATGCCGCGCACGATGGCCCCGTCGGAGCACGCCTGGTTCTCTTGCCCCCGCCGGGGCCCATGGAGCGGCTCGAGGGATCTGGGCGAACGACCTCCACACGATTTGCACCGACAGCGGAGGATGCAGACCCTGCAGTGGCGGCGATCGCCCTCGTGAGCGTGCTTTCAATGGTGATCAGCTTGGCGTCCAGCTGGGCGGCGGTGACCATCTGAGACGGAACGGGCGGCAGCTCTTGTAACATGTTGTCAACATCGAGCGGCATCGCGCTGACGGTGCTCCAGCACAACAGGCGCGCCTCCTCCACCGAGACCTTCATCTTCTGCGATTCCAATCGCAGCTCGGCGATCTGGGAGTCAAACTTCTCGTCCATCACGTAGATCTTGCCGACCGTGCACTGTAGATCAGCACGTAGAGGAGCGACCTGGAGGGAGCTGTCTCCACAGCTGGCCTGCAGGTCCTCGGGCGAGAGAGCAGCGCGCGCCATAGCAGAGAGAAACTGTGTGTCTGCTTGGGAACGACCCCAAGATGGCCCCTTCAAGAGGGGCTGCCCACCCAAGCGCCCCAGCACTTGAGCCAAAATGGCAACGGAAGAGGATTGGAGGAGGAGGAGGAGGAGGACGAGGGGGAGGGAGAAGGGAGGCGGGAGGAGTGCGGGAGAAGAGCGAGGGGGGGAGGCGGGAGAAAGAAGGGTTGCGGGAGCAGTACGAATGGAAGAAGAGGAGAAAAGAGGAGGGAAGGAGAGAGAAGAGTGAGAGGAGGAGAAGGAGGAGGAGGAGGGAGGATGGAGGATGGAGAATGGAGAATGATCGAGGATAGAGGATGAAGAGGAAAAGGGGAAGGAGAGAGACAGAGTAGAAAAGGAAGAGGAAGAAGAAGAAGAAGAAGAGGAGCAGGAGTGAGGAACGAGGAGAGGCAGCCGGGTGGTCGACTGCTTGAAGAAGTCCTGCCCCGCGGGCGCCAGCGTGAAGAATTTTGAGTAGACCTCGCAGGAACAAAGTAGGCTGGACCTTGATCCTCTCCCCTCGACTGCCCCTCCGCCTTACCCTCCTCTCATGATGGCGTCAATTGCCACTGGAGGGGTAGCGTCCACCACGCAGCTAGCACGCCCAAAGTGCCCCAGCTCATTGTTGGGAGCGCGCTGGTCTTTGCGCCCAGCGCCGATCGATTCCACAGCGCATCTCCAGCGCCGACCTCCGCTGGTGTTGACGTCTTCTGCATTTCTGATGGGCCTCCTCGTGTGCCCTCGGGACTACGGCTGGATGCAATTCGAACAAAAACAAAAGGCCTCGATTTTGACCGTGCGTGGACGGGCCCACCCGGGCCGCCGAGGACTCCCATATGGCCCCTAAGCCAACGAAGACGTCCCTAGAGGAGGGTCCGACGTACCTCCACACCGATTCAACTCCCCAGTATGGCGTCAATTGCCACCCACGCGATCTTCCTCCCTCCTGATCTTCCTGCTGCGGCTAGTGCACCTCCTCCTACCCCCTCATCTCCGCCTCCTCCTCCCCCTTCTCCGCCTCACCCTACTCCGCAAACTGCTGCGCCTCATCAGCCTCCTCATCCTCTCCTCGGCCTCCAGCTCTTCTATCCGCCTCCCCTACCAACCCCATTCTCCGCCTCCCCCTCCTCCTCCGCCTCGCCCTCCTCCGCAAACTTCTCCACCCCATCAGCCTCATCATCTTCTCCTCGGCCTCCAGCTGTCCTACTCGCCTCCCCTATCCGCCTCCTTCTCCTCCTCCTCCTCCTCCTCCTCCTCCTCCTCCTTGGTCCTCCTCCTCCTCCTTGGTCCTCCTCCTCCTCCTCCTCCTCCTCCTCCTCCTCCTCCTCCTTGGTACTCCTCTCCTCCTCCTCCTCCTCTCCTCCTCCTCCCCCTCCTCCTCCTCCTCCTCCTCCTCCTCCTCCTCCTCCTCCTCTTCTCCTCCTCCTCCTCCTCCTCCTCCTCCTCCTCCTCCTCCTCCTCCTCCTCCTCCTCCTATTTCAAAACATCCTGACCACAATTACCATTTCCATCCTCATCTTCATGGTAGTTATCATCGTGACCATCGTCGTCATCATCACCGCAACCATAATCAACGGCCGTCATTATGCAACGGCTACACATACAAACTGTCGAAGGTCCTGGTAGATTTCTGGTATCGGCGCCGGGATCTCCCTGGCGCGCGGAGAGCGCCAGGGGCGGTGCCAGAGGCGCCGCCAGGGGGATCCCAGCGTCGATCCAAGAAATCCGCGGGGACGTCCGAAAGCTGAAGTTGATGTTATTGCTCTCCGAGCTGGGCGGCGGGCCCTCCCCTTCGTGGCAAGGCGCCGGCTCCACCCGTGCGTGGGCCACCCCGGGGACCTCGCGGCGGACCATGGCCTGGGACTGCTCGTCCAGGTTCGACCACAGCTTCTCCAGCGCCTCTTGGGGGACCACCAGCGGGCTCCTACCTCCTTCCTCTGATGAAAGATCGACACATACATGCTCTCGTCGTGGGAAAAGCAGATGGAGGCTGTGGACATTTCTCGGCCACCAAGGGCCCTCGCCGGGCCCCAAAACCCTCAAGAAACTGTTTGGGCTCTGGACTCTTGCCGTTGTAGCTGTCGCTGAGGATGATGAAGGAGAAAGTAATCGCGTTCAGCTCGCCCTCGAACCCACATGCCATCCAGACTAATCCGCTAGTCTCGGGGCCGGAAGCCCCGCCTTGGCTACAGGTGCGAGATGTCGTCGATCAGGGCCCCCCGCTCGAACGGGAGCCCTTCGGGATCTTACAACTAGCATCCATACCTATAAGCGACTTCGCCGCCTTGCCCTTCCCCCCGTGCTCATACGTTGTGAGTGTGTGAGTGATCCCAGACATGCAATGCCTTGACTTTTTCTATACGGTGCTCCCGAGAGTCCCGACCTCTTCCCATGACCAAGCACGAGCAGCCAACCTAGCTCAAGACCAGACTAGTCCGGCATCCATTTCCCTCCCTCCCTCCTTCCTCCTCTTCCTTCGCCTGCTCTCTTCCTCCCCCTCCCCCTCCCTCCTCCTCCTCCTCCTCCTCCTCCTCCTCCTCCTCCTCCTCCTCCTCCCCCTCCTCACAACTCCCCATTTCTCCTCCTTCCCCAATCCTTCTCCTACTCCCCACCCCACTCGCGCATGCGCTCTCGCGCGCGGGACCAGGGGTGGGAACGGGTCCCAGCGACCCCCCCCCGCAAAATCGGGGAACGCAAATGTGTGGTAGGGTCCATGTGGGACACAGAAGGACATGCTAGTATTATGCGCCCTCCTCGGAGGCGCCCGCCCGAACCAGGCATATAGTACAAACATATTGTAGAACATCGGTTCCCAGGCGGCATGGCCAGAAAGCGCCCGCCACAGATCTTATACCATAAGAGTTCTCGGCGCGCGCGTCGCCCCTGGGGGAGCGACGCACACATAGTCTTAGTATGTTGGGGTAACGCCGACAATGAGGTGGGGCTTAAAGAAAACAGCTGAAGACGGTCTAATGGAGAAGGGAAATGTCAGCCTCGAGCTGGGTTCGCTCCTTAACCCCAACTTGGACTAAACCACCCTCTACGTACCCATCGGTTGGAAAAGGTGGGTCGAAAAACGAAGTAGGAAGGCGTTGACAGCAATTGGGGTTCCCACCCGCTCCCTCCAAAGAAAAGAAAAAGGAGAACCCCCCGGCGATTGAAGTAGGAAAGCGCCTACAGTAGATTGGGATGCGGGGATCCAGCGATACTTCTGTGGCATATCATGGGAGCCTCCCATGCCCTCTTGCTGGCTCTTGCGGATCGATGCTGACCGACGCTAATCGACGCTTGCCGACGCTGAGCCGACGCTGGGCCGACGCTCGTCGACACTATATCGACGCACAGAGACGCGAAGTCCGCACTTGTCGTCGACTATCACACGCTAGCGCACGCTAGAGCACTCTGAAAGAAGGAATTTGGAAGATGCACGAGGCTCCCATGATTCGCTGCCGAAAGATGTCCGCTCTTGACGACCGATGAGCATCCCCAACCCCCAGAGATGGAGACGGGCTCCCGGAGCGAAGCGGCCGCAGCCCGCGGTGCCAGGGACGGGGCCCTTTCGCCTCCTCTCCCACCCTCCTCTTCGGGGACAGGAAGCGACCACGACCACATCAAGGGACACACCCTGGAGGCTCTTGCGCATGCCCACAATCGTCAGAACACCGAGACCAGCTTAGAGTTGGGGCGTTGACCCAAGGAACCCTGAATACGGAACGAGGTCCCTTTTTTCCCATAAGTTGAACTCGGATATTCCGTGGACTAGGGAAAACCCAAGGAGCACTGTAAAACAACCAAGGATCACGGAGCCCCTCCCAAACGAAAAGGGTTCCTTGTTCAGCGCCCGGACTGTACGACTGGCTGCGGTCGACATGGGCGTCTCCCGGACGGCCAAAAATATGGCCGCATCGACCACAGACACGGCCAAAAAAAGCTCACATCAGGGGTCGGCAGGCACTCCCGACGGGCCCCCCCGGAAAAAAACCGTATAGCTGTGGTTGTGGTTTTTTGCTGTGCCCAGATTCGCCCCAGTGGATGGACAATAGATTCGAACCCTGACACATTCGAGGGAGGTTCTAAATCACCCCCGCGCCCCCGACATCAATGTTGATCTCAGTAAAGGCGGTGCCTTGGGGTTCGAATGCTTCTGCCCACTCACGCCCCCCCCCGTCGCCACGCCATCAATGTTAATTTCGGGGGGTCTGGGGGGCATCTTGGGCCACAGGGTTCAAATACAATGTCCATGTACGGTCCCCCCCTTGCCCCGCGGCTTTCTCCTGCAGGGAAGGCTTGCCCATGAGCGCCTTCCTCCTCCTCCTCCTCCTCCTCCTCCTCCTCCTCCTCCTCCTCCTCCTCCTCCTCCTCCTCCTCCTCCTCCGCCACGTCTTCATTTACCTCCGACGTCTTATCACGCATCCCGTCACCCTCGAGGGCCGAGGTATCCAGGGTCGGCGGCACTGGCCGTAAGGCCTTAGCAATATGATGTCCATGTACGATCCCCCCCTTGCCCCGGGGCCTTCTCCTGCAGGGAAGGCTTGCCCATGAGCGCCTTGAGCATCCTCGCGGGGCTGCAGAGCCGACACGAGACGGAGCGAGCGCACGGGCGTCGTGCGCACTCCCCCGGGGACTCCGCCCGCCCCTTCGAAACGTCGCGGGGCGCGGCGCGGAGGCAGACACGCGCACAGAGGGGGTAGGGGGCCGGAAGGGGGGAAGGCTTCTTACAAGGAGGCGTGTTTCTTTTTCAAGGCGCCGGACATACATCTCGAGATGAGGCGCGCGCCTTCTACGAAGCGGGGCGTTTTTTCAAGAAGCCTTCCCGCCCGCCCGCCCCCGTGCCCCCCCTCCGCGCGCGGCCGCGTGTTATCAACACCTAGGGTTCGGGCGGATTGTGTTTCGTCAGCTCTCTTTGGTTCCTACGGGAAACAAAAATGGCACAAACATAAACGGTCGGAACTCGGCGCAAATTTGCTGCGTCGGCGCTGGACCCCCCTCCCCCTGGCGCGCGGAGCGCGACAAGGGCAGCGTCGGAGGCGCCGCCAGGGGGGGGCCCGGCGCCGATACAAGAAATCCGTGCGGAGCTCCGAAGCATTATGTTTATGCCGTGTGGTTTTTGGGAGGCCGCGGTTTAGAAAGTTGCATGATACGCTCGAGCAGGCCAGCTGGCCGCGCAACGGGCGAAGCCGTGGAAGGCGAGCCGGCGTTGGGAGCCGGAGCTGGGAGCCGGAATCGGGAAAACGGAGTCGGACACCGCGGGAATCCCACCCCACCAGCCCTTTGGGCGCAGGTGGTCTAACGATGTCTTTCTTCCCTCTTCCAAGATCCCCTCTTCCCCTTCGGAGAGGGGTTTACCCCTCCCCCTCCCCCCTCCCCTGAACCTGGACGGGGGGGTCCGCGAGGGCTTGGAGCGCGCAAGATGGCCCAAGATGGCTCCGAGAGGGCCTCCGATGCTCCAAGATGGCCTCCAAGATTGCTCAAGATAGTCCAACATGGCTCAACGTAGCTAACAAAATGCCCCCAAAAGGCATCAAAATGGCCACAAGACGGATCCAAGTGCTCTTGGAGAGCCGTCAGGACCCCAGAGAAGCCGAAATCCTTCCAAAACCGCAGGGAAAATCAAGGGTTTGGGCCTTCTCGTTTTTCGCATCCGATGCGCTTTTGAGGCCTCGAAATGGCCCCAAGAAGGCCCAAGAGAGCCCCAAGAGGGGCCTAAGAGGCCCCCAAGACGGCCCCAAGACCGCCCAAGATCGCCCCAAGAGGGGCCCAAGAGCGCCCCCAAGAGGCGATTCCGATTGCTCTCACGGGGGAGCTAGATAAGGACTCTCCCCTCCTTTGATCATAGCCTCGAAGATGGCCCCAAGAGGCGCTCCAGGGCTCCCCAGAGAGCCCCAAGACAGCCCCTCTGGGGCCCCGAAAGGGCCCAAAAAAGCCCCAAGACAACCTCAAGAGGCCCCCGAGCGGCCTCAGCGAGCCCAAGATGACCTCCAAGATGGCTCAGATAGCCCAAGATGGCCCAAGATGGTTCCCAACATGCTCCAAACGGCCCCAAGACCGCCCCAAGAGCGCCCCAGAGCGCTCCAAGAGAGCCCCAAGAAGCAGTTTGCGGGCCCCCGAAGGGGAGCTGAATTGGGGACCCCCCCATCGTGTAATCGATGGCCTCCAAGATGATCCCAAGAAGCCTTCCAGGGTTACCAAAAAGTTTCCAACAGGGCCCCCAAAACTCCCAGAGAGCACCAGCACCAGCAGCAGCAGCAGCAGCAGCAGCAGCAGCTAGATGGTTCCATGAGTCCTCGTCCGCGCTGTCCTCATCCTAGTCTTCGTCTTCCTCGTCCTCGTCCGCATCCTCGTCCTCCAAATCCTCTTCGCCCACAACCTCAATCCTGCTCCTCCTTCTCCTCTTCCCCTCGCCCCAACGCGGCCCCCGGGGATGGCCCGATGAGGCCTTCCAAGACCACCCCCTTGCTCCCAGAGATACATCTCTCGGTTCACCCTGGTTGCTCGCTTTGTTTCCCTAGATGCGTCTCTTCATCTCTTTTTCCCGTTAGCTCTAATGAGCAGGGCTTCTGAAGGGGCTGGTGGGGATACGCGAAGCGTGAAGAATTGCTTGCGCCGCGGAACGGCAGGTGCAGTCCGCGCGCGCGCTCGGGCAAGCCGGGCGACGGCAATGCAAACTGCCCGGATGCAAGAGTGCAAGAGGGGAAGGAAGGGGAAGAGAGGAGCGGCCGCGGAAGGAGGGGAAAGAACTAATGCATTCGCGCAGCGGGAACCGCAGCGGGGTCCCCGGGGCAGCCAAGCCGGCGCTGCAACCCTGGCAGCGGGCACGGGGCGGCGTCGCGACCACGCCCAGGAGCCGGGGCAGCGGCTGCAGTGCGCGAGGTCGACGACCAGGAAGCGGAAGAGGAGAGCGTGGTGGCCAGCGGTAGCGGAGCCGAAAAACGCCCCAGGTGGCAAATGCAGAGAGACGAGACCGAGCGAGCTAAAGGAGGGGGGTGGCGCTGATCGCAATGGCCGCAGTGGCGGAACGGGAGGGCCCCCACGGAACGCCTGCAGAGCCGGCGCCGCAAGCGGCGGGGGCGCATCGCGCGTCCGCCACGCAAGCCAGCACTGCCGACGGCAACCCAAAGCCGGCCACAGAGGCGGGGGCAGGGCGACCGCGAGCCAGGCCCCGCCGCCGCGGGGGCCAGCAGCAAAGCGGGGGGCACACGCAGGACCGCTGGCAAATGGGATGGCGGGGGGCAGCAGAGCCAGGCCCCAGCCGGCGCCCGCATCACAGCCGAGGGCAGGCTCCCAGCGCCAGCCAGCGCAGGGACGCGGCTGCCAGGGGGCGCGCGATGCCCGGACTGGCGGCGCGCGCGCCGAGGGGCCATGCGGCAGCAGCTCCACGGCAGGCGCGGGGAAGCAGCGCGCGCCTTCACCAGGAACGATAACCTTGTGCCCGTCGACCTCGTAGACTCCTGTCTTTGCGCGGCGGGTCCCCGGCAGAGACAACACTTCAACGCCTCGCCTTTCCGCGCGCGGACGAAATTTAGCAACGGTCGTTTCAACGAGGCCTCGGACGCTCCACGCGGCAACTTTAACTAAAATCGCATCGGGGTTCTGAGCGGGAGGGGCTGGCTCTTCTTTAATATGCCAAGGCTTGTTTTTCAGGACCGCGTCTAGTTCTGCGCGTTTGAAATCAGATTCAACATGTTGTTTGGCCGCAACAAGACAATAAAAGAAACGCTTACAAACCGATTCCTTTATTTGCGCTTTTAGCTGCGTTTTTTTTTTGGGGGGTAGGGCGTTTTTTCAGATCAGTTGGTCGGATTGCTTAACATTGCCATCTACGACGTCCTCAATTCCGCCTCCTGGCGCGCAGTCTTCAGCCCTCCGGCTCTCTCTCTCTCTGTCCGACTGCTCGCCGTCCTCGCGGCCCCTCCCGGGTCCGTCGGGCCTCCGGGCCTGTTTCTTTTTGAGCTCTGCGAGGAAAAACGGCGGCTGAAAGGAAAGTTGGAAGAGAAGACGGCAGGGCAGACAAGGAACAGACCTCGACCAGAACGCAAAATAACACTATAAAGTGATGATCCACAGCGACGGGACTAGAAACGCTGAAAACACGGAGCTGAAAACGCTAGAACACAATCGCATTTTTTTAACCGCGCGCCCAGGGCGTTTAAAGAGGAATAATTCTCTAGCATCAGGAGCGCCGTCGGCAGCGGCATCCTCGCCCAATCCTGGATCGCGCCCACGATGATAGCGGGCAGGGTGGGAGATCGGACATGTGACAGCACGCCTGGGCGAGCGCGCTCACGAAGAGATGGACGGTCTCCTTGACGCTCAAGAAGAGAACCACGAAAAAGAACAGAAGTGGCATAAAACGCGCAGCCGGCATGGCACGTTTGCCCCGATCGGGCCCTCGTCTTGATGGGACGGGGGGCTAGGTTGGAGAGATGATGTTCTAAATTTGTAGCGGCGTCGGCTCTGGCGTCGGCCATGGAAGAACTCGCAGTGGCAGTGCCTGCCAAAGCCTGCCGCCGTTCCTACATCGATCCCTTCGTCTTACCTCTAGCCCCCCCCTTCCGATTCATCGCCGCGCGTCTCACTATCCAATCGCACGCTGCATTGAGTTCCCAGAGTTTCGAGTGCTCTTGCAACTCTTACCATTCAAACCATTATTTAACCCAGTTTCGGCAATCCGCGACCTCGCCAATGGCGTCTGCGCGCGCCAATTCTCCTCCAATTACGATCGCGTAAGGCTGGGTGCTGCCGTCGACCCGAATGAGCCAATCAATCCCCATCGCGAGTTTTTGCATGTACTCGACCCCGAAGCACAGCTTGCGGGCAGCTCGGACCAAAAGTGGACAGTCGGGAGATGCTCAAAGATGCTTCCCATGTCTTGGGGTTCTGGCGCTCCGGCCGCTTTGTCCTTCTCACCCATCGCCGCTATGAAGTCCCTTTTGGCTTACATCTTTCTCGGTGTCGGTGCCGACTGTTATTGCAACTCTTGTCTGACCCAGTCCCCAGAGGCATCAACCGAGTCAAATCCATCAAGAATCCCGACGACTGCCGAGATGACCTTTTCATAAACGAAGTTCGCACTGCTGGGCGCGGGCGTGCCACGGGGGCGGCGAGGAGAGGCGCGGCGCCACAGGCTCCGGGCGCATCGTTCGCTTCAGCCTGGGCGGCGTTCCTCGGCGGCGGTTTTCGGGGGCCGCCTTCGGGCCCCGGGGCCATCAATAGGGGAACAAAAAAAAGTGACATGAACATAAAAAACTCGGAGGTCCACGCGGATTTCTCGGATCGGCGCGCGCCAGGGGCGGCGCCGGAGGCGCCGCCGGGGGGCCCCGGCGCCGATCCGAGAAATCCGCGCGGACCTCCGAGTTTCTATGTTTATGCCACTTGTTGTTCCCCTTGGGGAAATGGTCGAGACCTCCGGGGGCGAAAAAAACTACCCTTGGGGATGTGGTCGAGACCTCCGGGGGCCGCGGATGGCCAAAAGCAGTCCCATCTGATGGTTGGGGCCGCAGTTCGCGCCGGGGCGCGGCCCCTATCGGGAGCGCAGCGGTGGGGCCACGGCCCCTCG